TTGGGTGGGGTGGGGGGGGTGCATGAGGTTTTTTGCAGCCTTAAATGTTCTTCCTTTGCTGCTTGTGTTTCTGTTAGCATCTCTGAGCAGGCTGTGGCCAGGGACAAGCTCTCTTTTTCCACCCAGTTATTCCTGGTCTCACACATTGCGCCATAGGTGCACCAGCCTTTCTGACTCCCAAGGAGAGGCCACACTCCCCTTCTGGGGCTTCCTGCCAGGCACCCATGTCCATTCCTCTGCTTTGCTCCGTGCTGTGGGACTCCATCCTTTGGGGTTTTGTATCTGCTGCTACCTGAGTTGATCCCCCCATTACGTTTTCTGGCTTCCAAGTGCGTTTCCTCTGAGCCCTGTGGGCTGGTCCCCAAGCCTGTCCCTTGTGCCATTCATCGGCTGCCCGGGTGTTGACCTGTAGGGAGCTGCAGGGAGGGGGATGGAGTTACCCCCTGGCTTTTCTCGGTGGCTGGCTGCACAGAATAAAGCTCGAGTCCCCGCTCGCAGCAGTCTGCTTTTGTTCCTGCCCTGGGCTAGCCGCCCTGCGGCCCAGCACGCCAAGTCCAGCAGGGTCCCAGCTCTGGCTCTTAACCCTGCCTGGGCGCCCCGGGCTGGAGCTGGGGCTCTGCTTGCTGCAAAGGGGGGAACAGGAAGCGACGCAAGGATGGCCTGGGCACCCTCCACGCTGCCTGCTTCAAGCCTGAGTCTGGGAAAGGATTCGGCTTCCGCACCAGGATGGATTTTCCTTGGGGAAAGCCACAGGGCCTGTAACTGATTCTAACGCTTCGCTGTTGGCCCCTGTTCAGTCTGCAGCCTCCTGGTGCCCACATTGTGCTGCTCTTCTTGGGTGGCCCCTTCTGCTAGCAGGGAAGCAGGCTGGTCTCGCTGAGGTTGCTGTGTGCTGAGCACAAGGGTTCCTCGCAGGACACTCAGCAAGGGCTTGAAAGGATGAATGATGAGAAAGTGCACATGTAAGGCGTGACCCTGGGCTGAGGCTGCTTCCCGTGTCTCTGTGCTGACAGCAACCATACCCCCCTCCTGCCACCTCCCCTCGGCTCTCCGGCCACCAGAGGGAAGCAGAGCCCAGAACACCAGCTCCAGGTTAGCGAAGGCAGCATCCACCTGGAAAGAGCAGCTGTCTGGAGGAGGTGAAAGCAGGAGGATGGGGAGCAGGGGAAGAACAGGTAACGCTGAACAGAGCAGGATGTGCTGGAGTGGGAAGCGTGGTGCCTTTCCTAAGGCAGCCTGCGACGCCTGGGCGCTCAGCAGGAGCGTCCTTGCGCCGGCTCCAGCAGAGCCGCTCTGCAGCCCTCCTGCATGGAGCGCCAGCAGGAACCATCACAGCTGGCTCTGGTGCCTCCTTTTAAGAGCCAGGCTCTTCCCGCATTTTCTGGAGCTCCAGCTGGAACGCAGGCAGGGCCTTGCCCCGCTCTTTCACATGGGTGAGATGGGCCCTCTCCCTTCTGAACATGCATGGCAGACACGTGCAAGCAGCGCTCCATAACACCAGCAACACCAACTCCATAGCTTCAGGCAAGAGCAGCTAAAACTTCTTTCTCTGGAGCGTGGGACAATTTTCCTTTTTTAAAAAGCCTTTTCCCTCAGTCCAATTCTGCACAGATCAGGGAAGCAAGGGCCATAATGGGCCAGAGCTGCCAGGAAGGGGACGAACCACTGCTAGAAAATACTCATTCCCGGTCTTCAGCATCACCACCTTTGCTAAAAGCAGCTGCCTTCACTTGGAACTGGGAAGTGCAAACCCTTCCCTGAAGTTGATGACAGAGCTGGAAAAACCCTACACAGCTCCAGAAATTATTTCAGGAACAAGCACTGCTCCTTTGGGAAATGGACTCGGCACCACATGCCAGCCTGAGCCACTTTCTCCTTTACCCTCGATTTTTTTTTTCCCTAACCTCCTTTCTCCCTTTGCAAAGTTCACATCCTCATTTTTTCCCCCCTCACATTTATGATTTAGAGTTAATGCACTCCTGTTTTTATCAGGATAGACTGACCTGGTTTCAGCTCCATAACTGAACCAGCCTCTTCTGGCTCTTCCTTTTGGCTTCCATCCCATTTAGTAAATGCTGGGATTTCCCTGCTGCCTAGAGTACCAGACCAAGAAAGGGATTCTTTCCAGTCCTGAAAATCCTTGTTACTGGGAAGAGGCAATTCAGTGCCAAAGAGGGCTTAAGAGCAAGAGTGTTCAGAACCAGAAAAGCTTCAGTTTAGCAGCATCTAGGGAAACACCCTGCTCCTGTTTCCTTTTTTCCCCTCACCACCCAAGGAGAGGCTTTTTACCCTAAGCTAGGGTTGCTGCTGGGGCCCAAGCGTGTGCACAGGACCTCGTGCTCGCCTCCTCAAACACACCCCACCTCTCAATCGTTGCCCAGTTTTATTTCATTTAAAATCCGCTGTGTTAAATATTTTAGTTACAAGTTCTGTGTAGAGGGTAATAGACTCTGCAGGCACTAGCAACCCCCTCACTCCCCAATACATATGTGCGCTATTGGATTAAGGACTGCCCCCCACCCCCAACCCAGCCACCCTGGGCTGGAATATACACATTCCCTTAAGGACATGGCCCAGCCTGCCTGCCTCTGCCAGCAGCAGGCCAAGCCTTTGCACGCAGGAAGCCAACAGTTTCACCCACCGGCAGTGAGCTGTGATCCAAGGACAGCTGCAGGGGGCTGCTTCTTCCCCAGTGTTGGACACGTGAAAGGGTTGTGGCCCTGGGGACAGTGCTACCTCCACAGAGACCCCAGACTCTGCCCACCCGGCTGTGATAGAAAAGAGAGCTCCAAGGGAAAGCACAGAAGCTGTGAGCGTTGTGTTCCTGTCTGCAGGGGGAGTGTAACTAGGCAGAGGCACCAACCTCAGCCCTGCTGCTGTGGCAGCCTGGGCGCCCCACGCTGCTCGCAGCAGGGCCCATGAGGATGAAATATTCTCAAGCAAGAGAGGGAGAGAACAGTAGCAGCCTTTCCTTTCCTCTCCCTCCCAAGAACCTCAGTACTAGGAAATAAAGCTGAACCTGCCTCGGAGGGGCAGGGAAAGATACCCTAGCACAGCAGCAGCAAGCAGCTTCCAGTGGTATAGGACAAGCTAGAGGTGACAGTTTGGTGCTGTGAGGGAGAGAACGCCATACAGCTGGCCGTGGAAAGGCAGTGCCATTCAGTAGTTGATCCACTGTATAGCAGTGCTAGTGAGGAACTGACCCTTCTTTAAGCAGAACAGGAAAGGAGGTAGGAGCTATCCCTAGGATTCCCTCTGGGACACATCCGGTCACAGGGGAGGGAGGCTGGAATGACCCCTGGCAGCTCTCAAATGCCCTGCGTTGCCCCTGCTGGTGCTGTGGCCCTGCCCTGGGTGGGTGGTGTGGGGGTGAAGCCGCTCTACAGGTCGAGCAGCAGCACGCGGGGATCCTCCACCGCCGCCTTGATCTTGCGCAGGAAGGTCACGGCCTCTCTGCCGTCGATGAGCCGGTGGTCGTACGTGAGCGCCACGTACATCATGGGCCGCACCTCGATCTGCGGGAGCGGCGAGAGGCGTCGGTGAGCTCGGCCCTACTGCTGCCCCCGGCACTTCTGGGGAAAAACTGGGTCTGCCCTGTTTGGCATTTCCTCCCAACGATGGTCTCTCAGGTGTGTCTTAGCTGGTGGGACTGCACACCCACCCGTTCACCCAGGGGCTGAATGCCCTGGCCAGGTCTGCCTTGCTTGCAGGACCCTCCTCCCTTTAGGTTCTGTTCCCCAGCATGACTA